TAAATAAAATATGTGCTACATTTTATAAAGATTTTCCATTAATACAAAAATCAAGTGTGTTTGAAAGAAACACAATTTTTATGTTTTTTCAAACGAAAATGATCATTTCATTAGAAATACAGTATAAAACTTCTTTCAAGCATGGAAGCTCACCACCTAGAGCAATTCTTCATTTTAGAGTGCATAAAATGGATACTGAAATAATAAATTCTGAAAAAAACAGGACTATCATGAAACAACATATAAATAAGGAGTATTTGGAACAAATATAATTGAGATAAAAGCTCATAAGTAGTATTTCCTAGAAGAAGACAAAAACTTTTTCCACTGTCTCTGCAAACTATGGAGTAACTTGACTATGTTCTCTTGGTGTTCAAAAATAATGGTCACTATCTCTTGATTATTTTTAATTATTGAATGTTGGTTATTGTTAAATATTAAAATGTAAAACAATTTCATATATATTATTTATGTAAAAAACATTATATATTACAGAAACAAAGGATGCCCACAAATTTCCATATAGTCATTACTTCTGGGGAGGGAGAGACAGATTTAGGAATGCTACAAAACATCTGTAAATAAAAGGCTTGAAAAACTAATATGACAAAATGCAAATATTTGTTATGTGTGGGAAATATTCTCTAGACTCTCCTGAATGTTTGAATAAAATATAATAATAAAAACAAATCTAAAAGGAGACCCCTGTGTAAGGTAGTGGGATAAACCCGGCTACTTTGATCTATCTCCCAGCTCTCCCATAGTTAAATAACTATGAAACACATAAACAGGAAAATCTGTATCAGCATCAGAAAGGCATATAAAAACTGATATTATATCTGAAACCCACAAAAAGGGACTAAATTTTCAAAGGTTTTTCATAATATACTTTACCACATCATGGGAAAATACACAGGAGGAAGTCTTGACAGATCCACATCATCACTGGCAGAAACTTAGAAAAGCAAAAGCTGCATTGAAATGAGATATTGAATTAGGAATCCAAGGAGAAGCCCTTTACTCAAGGTTACTTTTACCTCCACAGTCCAGGGTTTTGTATGTTAGCAGTGAACAATCAAAGATTGAAATGAAAAGTATCATAGAAAATGTCATTTCAGAAATATGTGCAACATCATACAGTAAAAAAAAAATTAGAAAACATTGCTGAGATAAATGAAAGAAGTGCTAAACAAATGTAGAGATATTCTATTTTTATAGATTGGAAAACTCAATACTGTTAAGACGTCAGTGCTCCCTGAATTGATCTATAGATTCAACACAATTCCAATCAAAATTCCAGAGTATATATATTAAAAACTGACAAGATTTTAAAATATATGGAAACAAAAAGAATCTAGAATAGCCAAAATAACATTTTAAAAGAGGAACAAAGTTGGAGGACTTATAGTACCTAATTTCAAGATATATTTTAAAACCACAGTTATCAAGGTAGTTTGGTATTGGTATCAGTGGAACAGAATACAGCACATAGACACAGACCAATACACATACAGACAACTGATTTTTTGACAAAGGTCTCAAGACAATTCAATGGGCAAGGAATAATCTTTTCAACAAATGGTGCTGGACCAATACGGAAAGAAACGATCCTTAATACCAACTTCACATAGTTGGTAAAAATTACTCAAAATAAATTAGAGACCCCAATGTAAGAGCTATAACTATAAACTATAAAATTACACTATACAATTTCTGGGAGAAAATATAGGATATAATCTAAGTGAAACTGGATTCACAAAAAATTATTAAATATGACCCAAAAAAGCACAAACTATATTGGAAAAAAAGAGAAATTGGATTTTGCCAAATTATAAACTTTTGCTCTTCAAAAGACACTATTATAAAATAAAAAGGCAAGCCACACATCAGAAGAGAAAATTTTTAAAATATGTATCTGTTAAAGGATTTGTGTCTAGAATATATAAAGAACTCTTATAACAAAACAACTATAAGACAACCCAAATAAAAATAGTCAAAAGATTTAAACAGACACTTTAGCAAAGAGGATATAGAGATGGCAAATAAACACATGAAAAGAAGCTCATCATGATTAGCTGTTAGAGAAATTAAAATAAAATCTAGCTAAACACCAATACATAAGCCACAGGAATGGCTAAAATTAAAAAGACCATAACAAGTGTTAGTGAGAAAGTAGAGTAACTATAACTTGTATACTGGTAGGAATGTAAAATTTCAGATAAGAGTTTGGCAATTTCTTAAAATGTTATACACACATCTACCATCCTACCCAGCCATTCCTTTAATATATATTTACCAAAAAGAACTGAAATCCATCGTCCCTACAAAGACTTGTATGTGAATGTTCACAGAAGGTTTATTTGTAATAGCTAAATACTGGAAACAACGCAAACGTTCACCAACAGGTGAATGGATAAACAAATTGTGGTACAATCGGTGGTTGGTTGAATCCATGGATGAGGAACCTGCAAATATGTGGGCTGACTAAGGACTTGAGCACCTCCGTGGATTTTGGTATCCTCTGGGTCCTGGAACCAATCCCGCATGGATACCAAGGGACAATTGTATATCCTTACTATGGACTACTACTTAGCAAATAAGGAAACAAACTATTAATACATGCAACAACGTGAATTATTCTCAAAATAATTATGTGGAGTGAAAAATGTCAGACAAAAAATATCTCACACTATGATTCCATTTACATAAAATTCTAGAAAATGCAAACTAACATGTAGTGACAAAAATCACATGAGTGATTCCCTGGGGATTGAGTGGGAAGGAAGAATTACAAAGAAGCATGAGGAAACTTTGGGGAATTATAGATATGTTTCTTATCTTGAAAGTTGTGATTGTTCTACAGGTTTGTACATATGTCAACTCATCAAATTTTACATTTTAAATATATGTGGTTTATTGCACATCAATTAGAAACAAACTGAAATAAACCATGTAGTTATTTTAAGCAAAAATCATAATACTATGTTATATGAGGCTATTATTCACGTAGATCTTCTAATATACATGACAACAATAGCACAAAGGACAAAGAGGGAGTACATGTAACTATGCTGCTCCAACTTCCCACATTTTTAGTGAAGTAAGACAATATTAACTTTAAGTCACATTTTGATAATTTAAGGATGCATTTTGTAATCATTAAAACAACCTAAAGAAATACAAAGAGGGACTGGCCCCATGGCCAAGTGGTTAAGTTTGCATGCTCCGCTGCAGGCAGCCCAGTGTTTCGTTGGTTCGAGTCCTGGGTGTGGACATGGCACTGCTCATCAAGCCACACTGAGGCAGCGTCCCACATGCCACAACTAGAAGGACCCACAACGAAGAATATACAACTATGTACTGGGGGGCTTTGGGGAGAAAAATGAAAAAAATAAAATCTTAAAAAAAAAAAGAAATACAAAGAGATACAGGCAATAGAGGAACTACAATGGAATACTAAAATTATTTGATTAATCAAAAGAAGACAGGAAAGACGAATTGAAGAGCAAAAAGCAGGTGAGATAAGACTGAAAACAAACAGGAACATGGTAGAAATAAAACCAACCATATCAATACTTACACTGAATGTAAATGAAGTAAGCACTCCTATTAAAGGAAGAAATTGTCAGAAATAAAAAAAAGAAGACTCAACTATAGGTTGTTTACAAGAAGTACATTTTAAACAAAAAAACACAAAGAAGCTGTAAGTAAAATGATGGGAAAAGATTCACCATGCAAACTACAAACTATTCAGTCAACTTGTTATTCACATGTGAGAGTGAGAAGTAAAAACAGATATGTAAGATTGGGTCAAGATAGTGGATTACCTCTCTTTCCATTCAAAATAACAAAGGTATATGAAGTTCTGGAAAAACTAAGGGTGACATTAGCAAGAAAGAAATTTCACGTAAGTACTAAAAGATAGCAATCAGGCAGGATGACATGTATGGATATAAAAGTGGGGAAAAATCACAGCACAAATCTGAAGAGCAGTAATTAACTAATTAAATCATTTAGAATTAGAATTAAGTGAAGAACAGCTTTCAGAAGAGTAGGTTGAGCAGGTTAGTCTCTCATTCCCAGCCTATATCAAGGAGCCGGTATTGGAAAGGTATTTCCCTCTACACTGCTGGTTCTTAACTTTGCCTGCACATTGAAATCATCTGGGTCACTTTAAAGAACACTGAGCCAGAGATTCTGATTGAATTGGTCAGAAATGAGGCCTGAGCACCAGACTTACATCTAGTATTGGAAATATAGTATAAGCAAATATCTTTAGTATTGGAAATATAGTGTAAGCAAGCAAGAAATAAACTTGCCTTATAGTACTTAGTAATGTAGAGCAACTGAGAAGTTTGGTCCTGGTGCAGGAATTTGGCATTTAGCTCAAGGAACAGAAGAGAATACGAAAATATATTCAAGTGAATTGATATTTCAAGCAGTCTATAAGTGGACTATCTAATAAATGAGCATTTGGAAAAAAACATAACACTGGAGTACAACTACCTTTCTTATAACAAAATAAATTCCAAATGGATTAAAGTGTTAAATAAAACATGGAAATAAAAAAGTATGAGAAAAATCCAGGTAGATATTTTCATAATATTAGATAAGTTCCAACAAACATGCCACAAAACTGAAACTCTCAAGAAAACAATTATTCAAATTTACTGAATAAAAATTACAAACTTATCTATTCACAAAACACATTATTAACCAGTTAGCAATACAGCTAAAAAGTAAGAATATTTGTAGTGTACCTGAAAAGTTCCTATAAATCAATATAAAAATATAATAACAGGCAAATGGGAAAAGGACTTAACCAGGTACCACTTGTACGACAAAAATCTAAAATGTAAAGCAATATTCAAACTACTATAACATTAACTAATAAGTCAACCGTCATTTTAAGACCCACACTAAAAAATAAATCATTAAGAAATTCTGACAAATAAATAACTTAACATACTTGATTTGCAGTTGACAATAAATTTACTTACAAGCTGTTATGCGTTCCTGACTCCTTGCAATACAGTCCTTTACAGCATCTGAAGGTATTTTCTTGGTACCATGTATCGTCGTTGTGGCGAGTTTGTTCAGTTTCCAGTGGGTCCAAAAGCCTTTATGAGGTTTTAAACCTGTTAATATAAAGTGGACATTTACTCAAAGAAATTAGGATTTTGAAACTATATTTTAATTTGCCAAACCATTTTTATGAGTATTCTCATTTCCTCCTCACAACAGTCCTGTGAGGATTGTCAGTCTCAAGTTTCAAAGGAGGGAACCTCTATACAGAAATGCTAACGTCCTATTATATAAAACAGTGAATTAGAAAAGAGCTAAAACTTGTTATCATCTTCTGATATAGGCATAAGCTAAGTTCATATTCAGACATAAGAGAAGGTTATTATTGTGAAAACTTGGAAAGGACCTAAACTTCTGACAATAGTACATTCATACAATGGATTACGAAGTCTCCATTTAAAGTTACCTTGTAAATATTTGCTAACATAAAAAGGCATTCATAATATTTTTTTTGTAGAGAACAATTTTACCTGATATATATGTGTGGTTACAGCCTAAATGTTAACATGATTGCCTCTGAGCACAGCTGACTATTATTTTAAAATTTTCCCTATCTGTATCTCCTATTATTATGATTATTATCTGCTGAGGAAGATTCACCCTGAGCTAACATCCATGCCAATCTTCCTCTGTTTTTCATATGCAGGCTGCCAGCACAGCATGGCTGCTAACAGAGCAGTGTAAGTCTGCCCCTGGGAACCGAACCCGGGCGGCTGAAGCAGAGCACATTGAACTTAACCACTAGGCCACTGGGGCTGGCCCATCTATTATTTTTTAAATAATATTTATGAATCAATTATAGTACCCAAAAAGTGGTAAAAATAAATTTCACTTAAAAAGTTCACTTTTGTTCCAAAAGCTGTGTAGGGTGGAATAATTCATTTAAATATGCTAAAAACATTTGTATCCTTAGCAATAAAAATGAGAACAATATAAATTCCTTTGTGTACTTCACATGGTTGTTCTGAGGATTAATTAAGATAATACATGTTAAAGTGTTCAGTAAATGGGAAATATGAGCTAATATTATCACTATTACTATACATTGATATAGTCATAAATGTAGCCAATATTTTCTCAGTGGTGAGTGTCCAATGAGGATTATTTAGCTATCAAATTAGAATTTTCTAGGTGTTCTTAGCTTCAGTTATCACCTATTTCAAGTTAGTTGCCACTAAATAAAATATGCAGAAGCCTTCAGTTTGATTGACTTGAATGTTTCTTGATAGACTATGTTTTAAAATGTAGTGTATTAATACAAAATGTGAGGTATAGTAAGGCCAACAGACAAGGCGATGACTTACATTGAAAAGAGAGTTTATTATTTATTCATAGTCCCCAAGAGGAGGGGGCACACCTTGCCACGGGAAGCCACATGGGGAAGCACAGGGTTCAGTCAGAGGCACAGAAAGACGGGGAAACTGTGGGGAAGAGCGTTATTGTGGCTTCTGTGGGAAGGAATGGGTGGTGCAGGGAAAGCAGGCTCAGGATTGGCTAGTTTGAATAATTTCAGCGGGTTCTGGGGCATAGGTGCTGTCCCTAGTTGTCTGGTACCTGATCCTGGGATCATTAAGACAAGTGGATAGTGGCCCAGAGTGAGAGCCCAACAAAGGAGGTGGATTAGTTGGTTTGTATTTGAAAAGCACACTCATCGGTGAGCTGTTTAATATCTCTAGGAATTCGCTAACCCTGAGAACCGCAGTTCTTCCAGGTTCAGCAAGGCCCTAGATGTCAAAGCATCAGAACACAGAACATAAAAGACATGGTTAATACAGTCTAGTGTTGAATACTCCTTCCATTTCTGGGATGAACCCTACTTGGTCCTGATATGTAAAGAGAGATATTCAATAAACCCTCTGAAGGCTTACTATGTAGTAAACTATGTGTTTGGCACAAGGGATCCCAAATTCAATTCAACTACGTTCCTGCCTGCCATCAAGGTAGGTGTGAAATTATTTGGTACTTGGTCTGTAGAAAGCACTTAATACAAGCTACTTTCTCTCTTGCTTCTTATCCAAATTAACCACTGGTTGAGTTGTTACTATGTCCCAAAATTATTTACAAGTAAGAAATTCAAATTGGTCACTAAACATGGACTGTTCCAAAGAATGGCATTAATATAGGGCCACAACATCCAAATGAAATTTGGTCTACATCTTTAGTTTTGATGATTTTTAATTTTTTAATTTTAATTTTTTACAGCTTTATTGAGATATGGATATATAACATCTTGTAAGTTTAAGGCATACATCTGTGTTGATTTGATACACTTATATATTGCAAAATGATTACCACCATAGTGTTAGCTAACATCTCTATCATGTCACAGAACTACCATTTCTATTTTATGGTGAGAACATTTAAGATCTACTCTCTTAGCAACTTTCAAGTATAGAACACAGTATTATTAACTACAATTACCATGCTGTACATTATATCTTCAGAACTTATTCATCCTATAACCAGAAGTTTAAACCCTTTGACCAACATCTCTTCATTTTCCCCACCCCTCAGCCCCTGGTAACCATCATACTATTCTCTGTTTTTATGAGTTTGGCCTTTTCAGATGCAATATATAAGTGATATCATACAGTATTTGTCTTTCTCTGTCTGACATTTCATTTACATAATACCCTCAAGGGCCATCCATGTTGTTGCAAATGGCAAGACTTCCTTCTTTCTTGTAGCTAAATAACATTTCATAGTCTATATACACCCATCTTCTTCATCCATTCATCTATTGATGGACCTAGATTGTTTTCGTATGTTGGCTATGTGAATAATGCTGCAATGAACATGAGAGTGCAGATATCACTTAGACATCTGTTTTTACTAGTTTTGGATATATACCCAGAAGTGGGATTTCTGGGTTATAGGGTAGGTCTATTTTTAATTTTTTGAGGAAATGCCATACTGTTTTCCATAGTGGCAATACTAATTTACATTCCCATCAACAGCACACAAGGGTTTCCTTTGCTCTATATTCTCACCATTTGTTATTTCTTGTCTTGATAATAGCCATTCTAACAGGTGTGAGGTGATAGCTCATTATAGTTTTGATTTGCATTTCCCTGATGATTAGTGATATTGAGCAGTTTTTCATGTACCTGTTGGCCATTTTTATGTCTTTTTTGGAAAAAATGTCTATTCAGTTCCTCTGCCCATTTTTAAATTAGATTGTTCTTTTGCTATCGCGTTGTATGATTTCTTTGTATATTTTGCATATTAGCCCCCTATAAAATAGATGATTTACAAGTATATTCCATAAGTTGACTTTTCATTCTGTTGATGGTTTCCTTTGCTGTGCAGAAGCTTTTTAGTTTGATGCAGTCCCAATTATTATTTTTTGCTTTTGTTGTTTGTGCTTTTGGTGTCATATTCAAAAAATCAGTGCAAAGACCAATGTCAAGTTCTTCCCCACTTTTTCTTATAGGAGTTTTACAGTTCAGTTCTTATGTTTAAGTCTTTAATTCATTTTGAGTTAACTTTTGTGAGTGTTGTAAGATATGAGTTCAATTTCATTTTTCTACATGTGGTTATCCTTCTTCCCAGCACCATTTATTGAAGAGATTATTTCCCATTGAATATTCTTGGCTCCCTTGTCAACTATTAGTTGACTGTATTTGTGAGGGTTTATTTCTGGCCTCCCAACTCTGTTCCAGTGGTCTATGTGTTTATTTTTATGCCAGTACCATACTGTTTTGATGACTATAGGTTTGTAAAATAATTTGAAATCAGGAAATACGATGCCTCCAGCTTTGTTCTTTCTCAGGGTGGCTTTGGCTATCTAGGGTCTTTTGTGGTTCTGCAAGAATTTTAAGATTGTATTTTCTATTTCTGTGAATGCCGTTGGAATTTTGATAGGGACTGCATTGAATCCATAGATAGCTTTTGGTAGTATGGCATTTTAACAATACTAATTCTTCCAATCCATGAACACAGAATATCTTTCCATTTGCTTGTCTGTTCTTTGATTTCTTTCATCAGTCTTGTAGTTTTCAGTGTTTAGATCTTTAACTTCCTTTGCTAAATTTATTTCTAAGTATTTTATTGCTACTGATGCTATTGTGAATGAGATTGCTTTATTACTTTTTCAGATAGTTCATTGTTAGTGTAAATAATTGCAACTGATTCTGTACAGTAATTCTGTATCCTGCAACTTTACTGAATTCATTGATTAGTTCCAACAATTTTTTGGTGGAGTCTTGAGGATTTTCTATATATAAGATGATATAATCTACAAAGAAAGACTATTTTACTTCTACTTTTTCCAATTGGATGCCTTTTACTTCTTTTTCTTGCCTGATTGCTCTGGCTAGGACTTCCAGTATTATGCTAAATAGGAGTGATAAGAATGGACACCCTTGTCTTGATCTTAGAGGAAAAGCTTTCAGCCATTCACCGTTGAGAATGTTGGCTGTAGGCTTGTCATATATGGCCTTTATTATGTTGAGGTATGTTCCTTCTATACCCAACGTGTTGAGTATTTTTATCATTAAAGGATTGTATTTTGTCAAAAGCTTTTTCTGCATCTATTAAGACGATCATAATATTTTTATCTTTTATTCTATTAATGTGGTGTATCACATGTACTGATCTGCATATGTTGAATCATCCTGCATCCCAGGGATAAATCCCACTTGATCATGTTATATGAACCTTGTAATGTGCTGTTGAATTCGGTTTGCTAATATTCTGCTGAGAATTTCTGCATCTATATTCGTCAGGGGATATTAGTCTGTAGTTTTCTTTTCTTGTAGTGTCTTTATCTGGCTTTGGTATCAGGGTAATGCTGGCCTCGTAAAATGAGTTTGGGAGTGCTCCCTCTTCTTCAGTTTTTTGGGAAGAGTTCAAGAAGGAGTGACATCAATTTTTCTTTGAATGTTTGGTAGAATTCACCAGTGAAACCATCCTGTCCTGGGCTATACTTTGTTAGGAGATTTTTGATTACTGATTTAATCTGCTTACTCATTATTGCCCTGTTCATATTTTCTATTTCTTCATGATTCATTGGTATATTATACGTTTCTAAGTTTCCAATTTGATGATGTAT